GTCTTATGTTCAAAAGGAACACTCTACTGTGGAGACAATTTTAAAGGCCATTGACGATCGCCTCGAAAAGAGAAATATGCTAAGACAATATGAACATGCACTTGGATTAAGGAAGCACTACTTCAAATCACAGAAGCAATAAAAGAATGACACTTGATCACAAAGGGGGAGATTGTTGGAGATATTTTATTGTGAATCAAGTTGGTCATAGATTAGCTTTATATTTAATCCTTGTATTTAAATAGTGCATAAATTAGATAGAAATCAGGCCAAGTGTTAGGCCCATTTAAACAGGCCAAAAGCCTGTTTCGCCTAACCTAAACCTCGCCTATAAAAAGGGAGCCGAGGTTTAGGAAAAGGTTGAACGTCGTACTTATTATTCATAGCCTTACGCTTATATCATTCTGCTGTACGTTCCACGGTTTATCAAAGAATGTTTTACGGTGATTCATTCTGTGTTCATCTTTACGTTTAATCTTCCTTGTTAGATCGATTATTCATTGCTGTTACAGAAACAGGGACTAACATTTTTAACTCCAAAGACTTGGTCTCTGTGTTCAGCAGAACTTGTCTTGTGAGTTAACAGAAGGCCTACTGCCTTTGCTTCTCTGAGGCTAAACTGGCAGAACCCCTACCACAACCCCATCCGCTGCCAGTCTGTTCTGCCAACAGAACAGGCTATTCGGTTAAATCTGGTACTTAGCTTGAAAAAGTTAAAAACCAATACAGTCTATTCACCCCCCTCTAGACGGTATCCAGTACAACCGGGACCAACAAGTGGTATCAGAGCCTCCTTGTTCTAATAATCTCTTAGGTTATTTGCTGAACAAAGATCCACTTGTTTTCTGTTTGCCTCATTTTTTTATCTGATATAATGGATCGCTCTCTTTCCAAGAATCTTATGTTCTCAGATCTAAAGTTTGATGAGCGGATGATCCGAATGAAGGCACATCTATGTGCCCTACATGATGAGATGTGGGAAGTACTTGACATTGGGACATTCACAAGCTTCCAGAAGGTCAACCCTGAGCATGCAATTGACAATACCAGACCTCAGATGATCAATAAGGCCAAGTCTGAGTGGACCACTGAAGAAAGAAGGAAGTACAATTTGGACAACATTGCTAAAGACATCCTTTACAAGTCCATTGATGATAGATACTTCAACAGGATAAAGAAGTGCAAGACTGCCAAGGAAATCTGGGATACTCTTGAGCTCATTGGAGCTGGTGATGAGCAAGAAAATGAAAACAAGCTGACAATAGCCAACAAGAAGTTTGATGAATTCAAGCTTCTCCCTGGTGAAAGCATCTTCAAGATGTATGACAGGCTCCTCACTCTCACTGGAGAAATCTCTGAGCTTGGCAAGGAACTTGTTGGTCCCGGTTATACTGGATACAGTCTAGAGGGGGGGGGGTGAATAGACTGTATTGGTCTTTAGCCTTTTAAACTAAGTACCAGATTTTCAGAATAGCCTGTTCTGTTGGGAGAACAGACTGGCAGCGGATGGGGTTCTGGCAGGGAGTTCTGTTAGCCTCAGAGAAGCAAAGGCAGAAGGCCTTCTGTTAACTCGTAGAACCAGTTCTGCTGAACACATATACCAATTCCAAGGAGTTATACAGTTCTATCTAAGTGCAAGTATTAAAAGCAGTAAGTAAATGACACCAGGGATTTTTATAGTGGTTCAAGGAACAACTCGTTCCTCTAATCCACTGTTCCACTAAGCTGTAAAAGCTGCCGTTTACAAAGCCTTAGTCCTAGCACTTAAGAAGCACTCCACGTCTTCTTCAAGTCTAGATGTGTCCTGGGATGCACTGCCTGGCTTCCTTTAACACTGGTCCTTTCACTGAGTCTCCTTGAAGTATCACCACTTCACTACTCCAGTTATTTGGACGTCCTTCTTGTAGCAAGAAGAGTTTCTGTTGAAACTGAGGTTCCTCCAACTAGCTTCGTTACAAAATATATGTATGTGAGGAGCTTGAAGAGTTGAAGAACACTTGGAACTTTGCTTGAGTTGGAAAGAGTATTTTTCCAACTTCTGCCTTCTCTTGTAGAGGATAATAAGTTTGAATCTCAAGGAGGCTTTTGCTTTTCAGAGTTTGAATATCTTGCTTGGTTAGCAATGTGGTAGCAGCGTTATGGCAAAGTTATCCGGTTGTTCTTCGTAGTGTATCTTTTATACTGAGGTTGTCTTCCCGTTGGAGGAGTAGGAGGACAATTGCATTAAATGAGCGATCAGTTGACTTGACTAGTAGAGCCCGGTAAGGTTGGCAGGTTACTATTTTGGGATAAAGTATTCCTGACATTCCGGCCAATCATCTGCAATTACTCTACGTAGCATGGGGTGCATTAAATGAGCATTTAATGCATGCACTGTAGCTTTTCCGTTTTATACTCCTAGCCGTTGAAGGAATCTTTAAGTTGACTTCCCGGTTCTTTGAAAAACTTCTAAGTGTCAGACCTTCTGGTGTCTTTGTCAGAGAGTAGAACAGAGGAGGTCTGGAGCACTTCTGTTGGGAGTATCCAACAGAGACCCAGAAGGGTTTCTGTCAGAGTCAATACTAACAGAGGTCCTGAGGACTTCTGTTCTGGAGCAGAGAACCAATGGTCCTCTGTTTCAATAAAGCCTTAAGAGGCACTTCTGCTCTGGGAGCCCTTCTGTTCTTAAAGCACTTCTGCTCTTGAAGCACTTCTGCCAAGTCGAATACAACTAAGAATTTTTACAAAGGAAAATTCTAATACATAATTTCTAAAGGGGTACTTCTAAAGTCCTAATGAATATAGCATCATCAAAATCTAAATACACTTATTCCTTCCAATTTCCCCCTTTTTGATGATGCCAAAACCCTTTAACTATTTCCAGAGAAGTGCCTTCACCATAAAAATATTAAGTTTAAAAACTTCTATTAAAATCTTGGTGGGCAACTTGGCATAGGAAAATAGTAAGAGTAAGATACATTCAGATAGCAGAGTATAAACAAACACAAACAGAAGGCAAAAAGACAAGAATTTGAGGAAAAGCACTTCAAAGTAAGAAGGCAGAGATGTGATTTTATTAGATAGATATTACAGAGTTTAAGCCTTACACATTCTCCAGATTAGCTGCCTGTAGAGCTTCTTCCTCTAGTCTTTGGAGCCTGAGCAGTTCTTCATTTATTTCAGCTCTGATTCTGAACAGATTGCCCGACCTTTGATAAGATGACCATATTGGAGAGAGTTTGCAGTCCAAGTAGTTGAGGACACCTTCATGTATGGTCTTTCCAGGGACAATGTTCTTCTTGTACCATTCTTCTGCTTCTTCAAGAGATCCTCGATACCTAACTCTGACAACACCATCTTTGTCTAGATAAAGGTGCTGTTGTTGGGTAGGAGTCATTTTGGCTTTCATTTCCTCAAATTGGGCTCTATCAATAATCTGAGAGCCACCCAATCTCCATTCAGTAAAGTTGAAAACTTTCTTCTTATTGGTGCTCTTCTTGACTGGAGATGGGGGTCTGGGTATGCCTGCTGCCCTTTTCTTTTGTAAGGCAGCCTCAAAGTAGGGAGCCGGATCTACTGCAGGCTCACCAGAGGAGGGTGCTCTGGTAGGAGTTCTGTGAGACCTAGGCCTGGTCTGTTGAGGGTCCTCTTCCCCCTTTTTGGCATCATTCAAGTCTTCTATCATAAGACTGATCTTCTGGAATTCTGATGCTTGGGTTGAGGCTATCTGCTCCAGGGCCTCTGGTAATGTCTGAGTGACAGATGTAAGGCCTTCAATCAGACCTTGCTGCTTCTGGATGGCAGAGAAGATGTCCTTGTTGTTGGCTTCAAGGAGCACCATCTTCTGATACCGGTCTCTGTCAGTAGATAGGAGGGCTTGAGCCTGTTCCTGATGAGTTCTGCACATCTGCTCAATAGAGGTCAAGTGCCTCTCTGTTCTGGCATCAGATTTCTTCAGAGCCTCAAGATGCTCTGAGATATGGTGGATTGCCTGTCCTTGACTCAGGAGAGTCTGTTGAAAGATAGACAAAGTGTTGTGGATGCCTACCACTTCTGTTGACAGGACATCTGTTCTGGCAGTAGAGGAGGCGATGAAGTTGTTGAGGGTCCCAGTGAGGTTTTCAAAGCGGTCAGAGATGAACTGCATCCCTGAATTCAGATTGTCATTCACATGAGCAAGATGCCCATAGTGCTTATCATTTATCTCTATCAGCTTGTCCAAGCCTTGGAGGATCTATCCTCCAAACTCTTCTGCAGATTCAACAAACTTGTTGAAGGGAATGTCAGTCTTTTGTCCATCTGCTTGAGGCATCTCTAGCCCTCTTCCCCTTGGTAGTGGGTGATGTTCTTGGACAGATGACAGAGAGTGAACAAGCTGTTCATGTTCCAGTTGAGTCAGAGGAGGGGTCTTCTGTCTCTTGGAAGTAGCCTTGTGAGATTTGTTGATCATGAATCCATCCATGTCAGATGAATCTTCATAAGACGAATAGATAGGGATTCTGTTGCGTACTATCTTCTTTTTCCTTCTCAGAGAGGGATTGGGAGCAACAGAGTCCCTAGAGTGCCCTTTGGGTGCAGAGATGGGGGAGATAGTGGTAGGATCTGAGTCTCTTAGAAACCATACAGGTTTTAGGCTTCCTGCAGGTTGTTGTGGAGGAGGTGATTCAGGTGGAGGAGATTGATGATCTGATTCTGATGAGGATGAGGAGGAGGAGGAGATCTGTTGAGGTGAGGGGTTCTGGTGTTGAGGTGAGGAGTGAATAGGTGAGGCATTCTGGTGAGGGGGAGATGGGGGAGGTGAAGGTGAGCGGTTTCTATAGGGAACAATTGCTCTGCAAGGAGATGCAATTTTCATTTTGGGTGATGGAGGAAGGGTGGGGGTGTTCTGTTTAGGAGATTTATGTGGAGGGAGTTCTGGTGGAGGGGTTTCTGTGCTGGTGGAAGGTGAGGGTATATGTGGTTCTGTTGGAATAGAAACAGAAGGGGTTGGAGAGTTTACCTTAGTAACGATGTCCACGAGCAAGGAAGTCCTCCATTCCTTGATGTGCTCCATCATTGCTTGTCCTTCTGTCTTGAGAACAGAGGACTCTCCTGGGTTGAAGTTGGGCTGAACAGAGTCAGTTGCCATCTTGGTGAACAACCATTCTTCAAAAGCTTCAATTTCCCCATCTTCAAGAGGTTTGACAGCTTCCTCTGAGGGTGAAGAAATGAGAATGGCCTTACCCTTGTAGCTGGCCTTCTTCTTCTCAAGGACAGAGTGAAGAAAGTTGAGGGCAAAACACTTTGAGACATCATCAGTCCCAACCCAATTCAGGATGGCTTCCTCTTCTGCCTCATAGTGATCAAAGAACTGGATTATCTTGTGGAGGGGTCCCATTCTCCATCTTCTCCATTCAAGAACCCGGGTAAACTGTCTGTCAAGCAAGGACAGATACCCATCTTTCACAGGGATGGGGTGCTCTGGAGGAGTTGGCACCCTGTTCTGTTCAGGAGATGCAGCAGAGGTGGGGATTTCTGGTTCCCCCTGAGTGTCTGCCACTCCTTCAGATTCTGAAACCAGAGGTTGAGCAACCTTCTTCTTGGGTTTGGAGGTCCTCTTCCTCTTCTGTCCGGCCTTAGGGGGGGCAAGAGGTGCTTCCCCTTCAGTCTTCTTCTTCTTCTTCTTTTCTGCCTTCTTAGCAGAAGTGGCTACAGAGAGAGGTTTCTGTACCTTTTCTCCTTGTTTCCTCTTAGCTTCAAGTTGAAGCTGCCTCTTCAGTTCTGCCTTTATGGCTTTTTCCCTATTGGGAGAGGCAGTCAAGAAAATTACCTTGGTATGATCCAAGGCTGAAGCCTTCCTCAAGCTTACCCCTTGTTTGAGGAGCACTTCAGAAATGAGCAGTCCATGCCCTAGCTTCCCAGAGTAGAGGCTAGTCTTGGGATTCTTCTTCTTTATTACTTCAATCAGGGACTTCACCATGATTTGTCCCCAATTGACATTTATCCCATGATGCACTGCATACAGGGCTTTAGCATTGGCCGTGGTAACATCATCTGTGGATGTGTACTTGCACCATAAACATTTGTGGAAAATGTTTATAAGTAGCTCAAATTCCCTCTTGAGCAGGTTCTTCTTTATGTTGACCTTCTCAACTTCTTCCCCTTTCCTGCAGAACATCTTTTTGAATTCTGACAAAGGGATGTCAATGTCTTCCAAGTCAAGTAGAGAGGCCCTTCCTCCCTTTTGCTGAATATGGAAGATGTTGTTGATGACGTCAGCATCAACCACCACCTTTTCTCCTTGGACAACGGAGGAGATGACTTCATCCTTGAAGGATGCGTTGAGATAGAACTCAACTGTGTCCATGTTGCTGTATGCCTCATAAGCATGAGAGATGACCTTGCTCAGTTGGCATTGTGACAGTCCGTCAACAATGGAGGTCATCCTCTCCTTTTTCTCTGTGATCCTGGGGAGTACGTCCAGTTCGCATCTCAGGCCAGTCAATACACTTTTGAGAAGTGTTGCCTTTTGTTCCTTTGAAAGATCGGAGAAGCTCAAGATGGCCATGGAGTTTACTGCGGTTAGAAAATTCTGAGAGATAAAGATTCAAAAGCTTGAGAGTTATGAGAGCAGTAACGGTTTAGGTTTGCGAAAGGGGGTTTTATGGATATGAGTTAGTGGACGTTTGAGATAATTTACGGTTCCAAGAAACCAATAAATGTAAAAAGAGGCGCAGTAAATAAACGGGGGCGCAGTAAATTTTGTACGGCTGGATACCGTTTTAAGGGTAAAAGGGTAAAAGACCTTTAAGAAGTTACTAGGTCACCCGGTTTACAAAGTTCTCTTTTTTCTAAGTCCACCACCTTCTGTTTGACAAGATAGGGTTCTCTGTAGAGAGGGTTTCTGTTGCATAGGTGTTCTGTCAGGGTAGAGAACAGAAGAGGTTGACAGAGGAGGGTTAACAGAAGGGGTTCTGCTACAGGAATTCTGTCAACAGCAAATGAGCAACAGAGGGCCTTCCTTTTCAACTTTCTCTTGGAATTTCATCCATCATTCCCAATTCTTCTCTTAGCTTATTGAACCTAGCCTCAGGAAGAGGCTTTGTCAGGATATCTGCAAGTTGGTCTTCTGTTGACACATGTTCCATGCAGATATGCTTCTTTTCCACATGATCTCTGATGAAGTGATGTCTGATCTCAATATGCTTTGTTCTGGAATGAAGAACTGGATTCTGAGTGATAGCAATGGTACTGGTGTTGTCACACAACAACTTGATCTCCTTTGCATGAATTCCATAGTCCTTCAGTTGTTGCTTCATCTAGAGTAGCTGAGCACAGCAACTCCCAGCTGCAATGTACTCTGCCTCAGCTGTACTTGTTGAGATGGAGTTCTGCTTCTTGCTAAACCAGGAAACAAGCCTTCCTCCTAGCAATTGGCAGTGACCAGAGGTGCTCTTTCTGTCAAGTCTGCAACCTGCAAAATCTGAGTCAGAATAACCAATTAGTTCAAAGTTACCTCCCTTGGGATACCATAGGCCTGCATTGGGGTTTCCTTTGATATATCTGATGATTCTCTTTGCAGCACTTAGATGGCTTTCCTTGGGCTTTGATTGGTATCTGGCACAGATTCCAACAGAGAATGAGATGTCTGGTCTGCTTGCAGTCAGATACAACAGAGATCCTATGATTCCTCTGTATGTTGTTGCATCTACATCCTTTCCTTCATCATCTGGACCAATTCCTTGTGAGGTGTTCATGGGAATCTTCACTGATGATTTGCCTTCCACTCCAAACTTCTTGATTAGATCTCTGGTGTACTTCCCTTGATTGATAAAGATCCCTTCTGGAACTTGTTTGACTTGAAGTCCTAGGAAGTAACTGAGTTCTCCTATCATACTCATTTCAAATTGACTCTGCATCACTTGAGAAAATTTCTTGCACAGTTCTGGATTAGTACTACCAAATATAATGTCATCAACATATATTTGTACTAACAGAATATGATTAGCAACAGAGATTTGAAATAGAGTTTTGTCAACCTTTCCTTTAGTGAACCCATGGTTCACTAGGAAAAGAGACAATGTGTCATACCAGGCTCTGGGAGCTTGCTTAAGACCATAGAGGGCCTTTTTAAGCTTGTAGACACAAGAAGATTGAGTAGGAATGACAAAACCTGGTGGTTGTTCCACATAAACTTCTTCTTCAAGATCTCCATTCAGAAATGCACTCTTGACATCCATCTGGTAGACCTTGATGTTGTTGTAGGCAGCATAGGCTAGAAAGATTCTGATGGCTTCAAGTCTGGCAACTGGTGCAAAGGTCTCATCAAAATCTATTCCTTCTTCTTGGCAATATCCTTTAGCCACTAGCCTTGCTTTGTTCCTTACAATGTTGCCTTCTTCATCTGCTTTGTTCTTGAATACCCATTTGGTTCCAATGACATTCTGGTGCTTTGGCCTAGGAACAAGTTCCCATACTTTGTTCCTCTCAAACTGAGTGAGCTCTTCTTGCATATCATTGATCCAATCTGAGTCTGCAAGAGCTTCTTCAACTGTCATGGGTTCCATCTGAGATATATAGCAGGCAAGCATTGCTTTTCTCCTTGATGTGGATCTGGTCTGAACTCCTCTTCTGATTTGACCAATCACTTGGTTAGGAGGATGATCTCTTAACCATGTCAGATCTGGTTCTGTCAGCTGCTGTCTTGGTCTCTCTGGTTCCTCATCTTCAGAGTCTTCATCTTTATTCAACAGAAGGGGGTTTGGTGCAGGTGTTGGAAATGCAGGGTTGTCTGCCCCCTCTTCTGTTGGTTCTGGTGTTCTGTCTTCTATGGTGACATCCTTGAGAATCTCTGTTACCTCTTCAACAGAGGCGCTTTCATCAAACTTCACATGTATGGATTCTTCAACATGTAGGGTTCTTCTGTTGAGTACTCTATAGGCTTTACTTGAGTTTGAATAGCCTATAAAGACTCCTTCATCAGCCTTTTCTTGAAATACCTTCAGATGCTCCTTTCCATTGTTGAGAATGTAGCACTTGCATCCAAATACATGAAAGTAGCTGATGTTAGGTTTTCTTCCCTTCCAGAGTTCATAAGGGGTCTTCTGGTGATTCTTGTTGATCATGCTCCTGTTCTGAGTATAGCATGCAGTGTTGATTGCTTCAGCCCAGTATCTCATAGGCAATCCAGATTCTGCAATCATTGTTCTTGCAGCTTCTTTTAGAGTTCTGTTCCTTCTTTCTGCTACGCCATTCTGTTGAGGGGTTCTGGCGGCAGAAAGTTGATGAAAAGTTCCATTCTGATCACAGAAGTCCTTTATGACTTGGTTGACAAATTCAGTTCCTCTGTCTGATCTGATTGTCTTCACTTTCAAGTTCTTCTCAGTCTGAAGTTGCTTTAACAGAGATGGCAACTTCTGAAGAGTTTCATTTTTCTTTTTCAAAAATACAGTCCATGTGTATCTTGAGTAGTCATCAACCATGACTAGGGTGTATTTCTTGCCACCAACGCTTGGAGTCTCAACAGGTCCAAATAAATCCATGTGAATCAGATTTAGAGGACTTGTAGAAAGATCTCCAGCAATGGGTTTGAAGGAATTCTTTACTTGTTTGCCTTTCTGACATGCACTGCAGAGGGTCTCTCTCTTGTACACAATGTCTGGTAGCCCTTCTACAATGTGTTCTCTTGCTAGTTTGTTGATTGTTTTGAAATTCAAATGGTTGAGCTTTTTGTGCCAGTCCCAGCTCAGTTTTGAATCTCCCTTGGCTATCAGGCAAACTCCATCTTTTGCAGTGTTCCAATCAACTACATAGATGTTCTTTTTCCTTGATGCTGTAAGAACCACCTCCTTTGTTGTCTCATGCTTCACATAGCAGAAGTCCTTTGTGAATTCAACAGTGTAGCCTTTGTCACAGAACTGGCTAGCACTCAGCAAGTTGAACTTCAGTCCTTTGACATATGAGATATCATCAATGATTATCTGGTTCTTGATCAGCTTTCCTCTTCCTTTTGTTTGACCTTCTTTGTCATTACCTCCAAAGGTAACTCTGGGTCCTTTGCATTTCTGGAACTCTGTTAGGCAACTTCTGTCACCTGTCATGTGCCTGGAGCATCCACTATCAATAAACCATTCTTGTTCAGAGATAGCTCCAGCACACAGTTCCTGCAAGATCAAAAGAAAGATTTAGGTACCCAAGCAATGCTGGGTCCTGGGGGGTCATGGAGTCTGGGTAGTTGGTACCATTTTGGTCTCATCAAGTGAAACCTTGGTGGGTGGTACCCATTGTCCACCTGGTAGTTGTAGTAGACAGAAGTGTGATTCACTTTGGGAAGATGTTTGTGAGGGTCATGCTTCCTGTTTACATACTTTTGCATAGCTTTCTTTGTTGGAAAGAAGTCCCATATACTATCAAGAGCAG